TCTCGAGGAAGACGATGATCAACAGGTGATACAGGTGATGGTAAGTGGTGATGACGTTTTGATAGGTAATGACTATTCATAATGACTTTATATTCAGGACGATTTCGGAATATTAAGGACATCTTTGTACAGAAGCGTCATTTTTGATCATCACTACACCCGCCTCAGTGCAGGCCCCGCCCACTTCGGGGATTTTGACTATTCTTTGTATTACCTCCAACCACTTCTACTCCGCGGGCTGGAGCGTTTCGAACGGTAATGTTTATTTTTGATCTATGAAGGAAGGGTTTCAACTCCCATGGAACTTTGAGTAGAGATCTAGGCATATCGATAGGGCTTCGAAAGTTATTAACAAATATGGAAATTGAAACTGCAAAATGAGTCTACCAAAAAAGTTGTGAGCGTTCAAAGTTTGCATGCTCAAGCATGGAGAGATGGTGTCAGTTGATAAGCGCAGTTGCCCGCGATGGCCAAGGAAACTGTTGAATCACACAAGTGAAGTTTCAAACACTATGTTCAAGAACATTCATCCCTACTCTTCTAGAGCAGGTTGCAACTGGTAACGGAATCGTTTCGATTTTGAATTAACTCGAAGGCTCCAAAATTACAGTCAATGGTGACAAAAACATGAGGGTATGGTGAAAGCTCATGTCCTTATGCCCTGTAAACTTTGAAACGAATGAATCATACAGTGAGTGGGCGAGTGGGGCAGTGATAGGAGCTTCGGTGGATCGAAAGGAAGACGACCATTCTGTGAAAAGCATTGAAGGAGAATTGAAGGGACACTGGTGAATGACAGAATAAATACATGTAAAACATATCCAAGCAGAAATCAAACAGAAAGGGATCCGCATTCAAGCCTTCCTTCAACGGTTTCAAAGAAGGTTACTCTTTCGAACAGCGGTCATGGTTATGGAACAAATGAATACCAGCTGAAAGAAACAACTATGATAGGCCTCCATAAATAATCAATAGCTTAATGGGTCTTCCGAACGCCCACCTGGAGCATACGCCAAAAGCTGCGTTTGCCTACTTCCTTCATAATACTGATCTTGACAAAAAGCGGGGGTGTGAAGAAGAACTGATAGACGGCGCCCTCCCTGAAGAGGATTGAGGATATCCTCCTCTACCTCCCTCGTATGTACTTTAGCGGATGAGTGAAGAGGTCGTAACGCAGCTGCTAGACTCTCGGAGAAATACGTCAAAGTCGAACAAGGAGTTAGTAAATCGAGAATAATCTCTCACAACCGATGAAAGAATCAACCTGGAAAGTTTCGACAGTCTGTGGCTGAGCCATAAATACTTTTAGTCACTAAGATGTAAAACACTAAACAGCTTCTGATCAAGAAAGACCTGCAACCCTTCGTCTAATTGTAGCTGTCGCATTTCTCTAAAAAAAGGCTCAAACGAGCAATTTTTCTCTGATTCCTAAAATGGAACGCGGAAAAAAATGAAAGATTAAGCTGAGAAAGCAGGTTTTCTCTAACTCGAAACGGGACTTCTCTAACTTAAAATTATTTCAATGAATTTCATGACAATGGAACAACCGACTATGGATCATGAATGAGGTAGAGTAGGTCTGCATAATCAGTAACGAACTGAGATACGATGGCAAAACCAGATGGCAGCGGTTGATCATCGAAATGCCCTCAAGTCTCGGTCACACATACTCAAGCTTACAAGCATGTTTTGCAATTTCCTTAATGTAAAGACAACAATAATGGTCTGCTTCCTTTAAAGACTCACACACAGCAGCACAAGATGCGTACGCACACGAGATGTGTAATGCATTCAATCCAAGCGGATTCAGCAATGCAATTGCTCCGTCAAAAAGGGGAAGCGCTGCCGAGTAATCCTCTCAGCTAAGAAATCGTCATCGTCGTCAGTGCACTCAGAAAAGTGACACGTCATAGCGAATAAGTTACTTTGTCGAAATCATGCTATCCGCCAACTCATGATGTCATGAAGGACCCACGCCAATCATTGCTACAAAACCCACATTTACATACAGGTCCCATGAACCGTCCGTCCCCAACAGCTGTTGAGAGTCTGATCGAAACAAAAGATAATGGGCAGTAATGATTGAGCGGGGCCAATGTAAAAGGAACCTGGAAATTTGAATAACTTTTGCAGAAAGTGAAGATAGTAGAAGTCAAAAGCCCAAAAAAGACCGAATGTATGTATTTCCGACTTATCTTTTGAGCAGAAAGGTTTCACCGCAATTAGTTCGTTTGCAGATCCAGATTTTCAAAAATTTTAACGTAAGCCTACTCAGCCTTGGCCATCGTATTGATTAAAACGCTCTTGAATCACTTATATCCACCACATTTTTGTCCTATTGTCAGATGATCTGATTGTAAGAGTATTATTATTTACCACGGTAACATGACGCTAATTGCAAATGTATTTATCGATATGCGCGCTTTCATTTGTTGTATAAAAAAGTCACATCCGCAGAAAGTGTCTACTGATACCCGTCCTCCCGATCTCGGTTCATCAAACTGCTCTACCCTTAACAAAGTTGCAGCACCAAAGTCACCTTGGAGCCTTGAAGAATGTTTGCCAGAGATGTAGAAAAAAAATTTGGAATTTCGAGAATCATCATATCCGTGGATAAAAGTGGACTTTTTCAGCGAACCTCAGAAGCGATAGCTAGTTAACTCTGCCGTTGCTGGTCCCAAGCCCGGATGGGAAAAGAGGAGGGTTGGTGCCAAGGGCTAGCAACCCTTCGCACCAAGCCTCCTCTTTTCTCATCCGGGCTTGGGACCGGCACCCTCCTTCCACTGTAAAAACTACAAACGCTAAAGAAGCGATGAATAAATTTAAACCTGTTGCATTGAGGGAGCCTAACTCTAGCCTTGTGACGGAAAGTATCCTGATGCGGAGTTCGGTTTTCTCACCCAAAAACAAAACTTTCGTTGGAGCATGAATTGTACGCACACTGTATCAGCCTGGTAACCTTGCGCAGATTCTTGGAGAGTTCGATAACTATCACATGGACATTCTGGAGACCAGCGAAGTCCGATGGACTGGCCAGGGCTGTATGAGAAGCGAGGAGAAGACTGTACTGTTCTCTGGGCCGGAGGAACGACACGAAAGAGGAGTGGGGATTGTTTTGTGGAAGAGAGCGGCGGAGGCACATGTTGAATGAAGACCAGTGAATGAGAGGATAATCTCGGCGCGATTTGTAACAAGGCATACATGCATCACAGTCGTTCAGGTATATGCACCTACGGAGGACACGAGTGAGGAATTGAAAGACAGCTTCTATGAGCAACTTCAGGACATTGTTGATGACATACCGAGACAAGATCTGAAACTTATCATTGGAGATTTCAATGCAAGACTGAGTCAAGACCGAACGGGATTCGAGCGAGCAATTGGGCCATTCGCTTCTTGTGAACATCATATTAACAATGGCGAACGTCTAGCCTTGTTCTGCGAGCAGAATGCACTGTGTGTTGGAAATACGTCCTTTCAGCACAAACGGATCCACAAGGAAACCTGGTGCTCGCCCGATGGGAAAACAAGGAACGAGATTGACTACTTTTGCATAAGCAAGAAGTGGAGAACGTCTCCTCGAGATGTTCGGGTATTCCGTGGCGCTGACGTGGGTTCAGATCATCGCTTGGTAGGGGCGTCAATCGAAATCAAGCTGAAGAGGCAGGAGAAGAAAATCAAAGTTACCAGACCATTTGCAGTGGAGAGGCTGAAGGACCCGGCCACCACCGCATGCTTTTCTCTGGAGTTACGGAATCGATTTGCGGATTTGAAGGAGGCGAGTACTTTGGAATAAGAGTGGACTCCTGTCAGACGAGCCATCCAGGATTCTGCTCAGAAAGTGGTCGGACGAAGAAGCGAGAAACGAAAGGAGCAATGGTTTAAGGAAGCATCTGGGAGAAGATAGATGAAAGGAAACATTGGAAGCTCGGGGAGAACAAGCGAAGAATGAAAACGAACTCGAAGAAGCAACTAGTAGATACGCTGAACTGGATCGCAACGTGAAAAGATCCTGTCGCCGGGTCAAAAAAGCCTGGTTTTTGCAAAAAGGAGCAGGAGCCCAGCATGCTGCTGAACGTGTTGACTCGAAAACTCTTTACCGCATCGTCAATGAATTGATAGGAAGTACGAAAAAGGCCAATTTGCCTATCAAGGACAGTAACGGCAGACTTCTTTTGAGCGCAAATGAGCAGAAAGAAAGATGGCTCGAACACTTTCGGAATATTCTTAACCAGCCTGAACCACAGAGAAGCTACTGCTTCGAGCGGATGGAGCCAGCTGACGAGCTCGATGTCGATGTTGGCAGCATAACCCCAGAAGAGACAAGCGAAGCCATTCAACGCCTTCGCAATGGGAGAGCCTCTGGCATAGATGAAATCCCGGCAGAATTGTTAAAGGCAGGTGGCAACACGATGGTTAAGAAGCTCACGGATTGTATAACCGTTGCTGGAATGGTGTAGAGGCCTCAGAGGACTGGAAGAGAGGAGTGATTGTGAAGCTACCCAAAAAGGAAATTTGGCGGACTGTGAAAATCGGAGAGGTATCGCACTTCTTTCGGTTCCTGAAAAGACATTTTGCATTATACTGTTGCGATGACTCCGTGATGCAATAGATAGCCAACTAAGAGAAGAGCAGGCTGGATTCAGAAAAGGAAGATCGTGTTGTGAGCAAATGTTTATTCTTCGTAACATTGTCGAACAATGCATTGAGTTTGAGCATCTACTCTTCATCAATTTAGTGGACTTCAGAAAGGCATTCGATAGTGTAAATTGCAAATCTTCATGGGAAATACTCGGAATGCCGAAGCCTTTTATTCGTTTATTCAAGAATCTAAGCCGTAACTCTTCATGTTGTGTGGTTTATTCAAGAATCTAAGCCGTAACTCTTCATGTTGTGTGAGGACGGATACAGGTAATACCTCATTCTTCAGAATCGTTACGGGAGTACGGCAAGGGTGCATCCCTTCGCCATTGCTGTTCAACGTCTGCCTAGTTTTTGTCATGAGGAAAACAACACAGCAAACAGCGGTAGGCGTACACCGGCTTAACGATGAAAGGCTCACTGATCTGGACTTTGCGGATGACATCGCACTTATGGCTGAAGATAAAGACGGATTGCAAAAGGTCACCAATTCTCTCAATGAAGAAGCGAGCATGGCTGGGTTGCGAATTATCGCCAGTAAGTCGAAAGCCATGTCAATCGGTCAAGCTTGTCCGCAAGTGAATATCAATGTGGAGGACACAATGTTGAAAACGTCGACAAGTTCACTTATCTCGGGAGTACGATTACCCATGATGGCGATATCAAAACAGACATTTGTAGCCGGATTGCAAAAGCTACTGTGTTCAGGAGACTCCAGCCAATATGGTCACTATCGCCCATATCTCGAAACATCAAGATCCGCCTATATTCTTCCATTGTGATCTCTGCCGCAATTTATGCAAGCGAAACATGGAAATACATGGCGAGTTTAACCAAAAAGATGGATGCTCTCTACCAGAGATGTCTGCGAAGGATCATGAAGATACGGTACACGGATCACGTTACGAATGAGGAAGTTCTGCGTCGATCTGGTATGAATAGCCTCCACGTGATTGTGGCACGGCGTAGAATTCGATTAGCCGGTCACGTATTGCGTATGTCGCAGCAGCGTATCCCAAAAATGACTCTGTATTGGACACCTAAAGGAGCCAAGCGAGGAAGAGGCCGTCCCAGAGACACGTGAAGAAGAACATTTGACAGCGACCTCAAAGTCATGAATGTTTCCAGGGACGAAGGAGAAGGCATTGCACAGGACCGGCAACAGTGGAAGGCCCGATATGCCCAACGGCATGGGAGGAACTAAGGTCTAAGGTAAAAAGAAATAAGTCTTTCCGTCGAACCGTTGATATGCGCAGTTGGTGTTTATGTTTCTAGCCTCTGGACCAATTCGTGCCTATTCAGTGGTTGAAAGGACTAACTACCAAAGACATTTGCTTTTTTTATGCATATATTACATTAACAGATGGTTTTTGGTCGGCACTGACCGGGTCCACCCAGAAAACAGAGCAACAGACAACAAATGTTTTTTTAATCAAAGCTACAAAAAACAACTGAACCACGCACAAAATAGTGCACAAAAATACCATGACGATACAGAAGGCTCTACGACAAAAAAAATGAAAAAAGAGACTCAGGTAGGGAGCGAGAGAGCTGGACTGAAATTCTGAGGAAACCGTAAGATAAACGACAGGGGGGGGGAGAGTTAAATCCCGGCAAAGAGTAGAGGAACCCAAACAGAATCAAAAGAGATGCCAATCCTAGCGTCAAGGGTTTACTCAGGGTGCGTCAAAAGTTCTGGCAAAGGCTCGTTTCATTCTCTCCATAGGGAATGAGGCCTTCAATCTAGATAGGATCTGTGTCACTATTCACTGCAAGCCTTCTTCTAGACATTCCATGAATCCTTAAATATGCCATAGTAAAGAATGCTGACAAGCAAAGACCAACGAGCCCCAATCCTGCACTTTCATCTGGCTGGATGCACGGCAAAGACCATCTCCAAGCAGCTCCAGATTCCCTTAAGAATCGTGTACAATAACGTCAACAGGTACAAGGCGAAATGAACTATGGAGGGCAAGCCTAAAACTGTAAGATCGAAGAGTGCAACGACAAAGGAGATCGTGGAAATCATTTGAGAAAAAATCCGCTACCACCCTCGTAGGTCCGAGAGAAAAATGGCTCCTGAGGTGGGTTCTGCTCGATCTGGAAGGATTGTCACCAGCCACCTTCGACTTCGTTCTTATAAGATCAGAAAAGCTCACCTGCGAATTGAGCGTATGAAGAAAACTAGGCTCGAAAGATGTAAGGAGCGTTTAAAGCGATTTTTGCAGGCACGGCACAGCAACATCCGTGACGAATATCTTTTTTCAACAGACCAATTCCTGAACACCCAAAACGATGGAATGATGGCAGGAAGCCCTGCAGAAGTCAAACAACATGGAGGGATGACTCAGCGATCTAGACACTCCAAGTCGTTAATGGTTTTTGGGGCCATCACATTGGACGGCAAGATGGCCCTGATTTTCTTGGACAAAGGGGTAAAGGTGGATAGCAAGACCTACTCAAAAGGCGTGCTGGACAAGGAGGTACTCCTCTAGACGAAATCCCATTTCGGCAACATGACATGGACTCATCAACAGGACTCAGCTCCAGCACACTAGTCCAAGGCGGTACAGGACTGATGCACAACGCACTTCCCAGGCTTCATCTCTCTCGAATGGCCCCCGAACAGTCCAGGTCTAAATCCATTGGACTACTCCGTGTGATCTCTAGGACGGAAACCTGCTCTACTCACCCTAGAAGTTTGGATGCTCCACGTGCAACCCTACTTAAACATGGGAGGATTTGGACGAAGACTACCTCTGTGCTACCGTCGACGCGTTTCATAGGAGACCTCCAGCCTGTACTCGCGCAAAAGGAGGTTATTTTGAAATCAAATCAGTTATGTGGTCTACATAGCTGTTGTTAAATGCTGTTGAGGTTGTATCATGTATCGATCGATTCGACCGTTTATACGGGAGCGCGGCATCGACGAACAAGGGGTCAGGGTCGTCAGTAAGTATAAATTAGTAAGAAAACAATGGTAATGTGATATCTTTCTCTCCGGGTGTAGAGGCGTCCTCGCCGGTTCACCCGGTCAGTGTGATCCTATTCTACGATGGGAGTGGTGTCCTCTGCATGGAAAAGTGAACGTCGCCGGTGTTCCGGTGAATGGTTGACTGGTTTTTTTTTCCTAAGAAAGAAAGAAGGAAAGAAAGTTTCTAAGAAACGCGTCGACGGTAGCAGGGAGGTAGTCTTCGTCCAAATCCTCCCATGCTCTAAGTAGGGTTGCACGTAGAGCATCCAAACTTCTAGGGTGAGTAGAGCAGGTTTTCGTCCAAAGAAGAGATCACACGGAGTAGTAGGAGTGGATTCAGACCTGGACTGTTCGGGGGCCACTCGTTCGACGGGATGAAGCCTGGGAAGTGCGTTGTGCACAAATCCTGTACCGCCTTGGACTTGTGTGCTGGAGCTGACTCCTGTTAATGAGTCCATGTCCTGTTGCCAAAATGGGATTTCGTCCAGAGGAGTACCTCCTTGTCCAGCACGCCTTTTGAGTAGGTCTTGCTATCCACCTTGACCCCTTTGTCCAAGAAAATCAGGGCCATCTTGCCTTCCAATGTGATGGCCCCAAAAACCATTAACGACTTGGAGTGTCCAGATCGCTGAGTCATCCCTCCATGTTGTTTGGCTTCTGCAGGGCTTCCTGCCATCATTCCATCGTTTTGGGTGTTCAGGA